ATTACAAATGAGGAAGAAAGTCAGTGTGAGTTTCAGAAATTTAAAATGATGATGAATGGATGGCAGGTTGTATTTTTCAAAGGTTGACATGATAGAATCCCCTATCTCACATGCTCTTCAGCATTGTTACCACTTTTGATCATGAACTGGTCTATTTATCAACCTTCTTGAATCTGAACTGTTTCAGTGACTGCATTTCTCAATAAAATAGTCAAAATAATTGCCAGTTCCAAATATTATCTTTATTGTTTTTGTGCATTCAGCTTCTGATTCTTCTTGGGAGCCAAGTCCGTGGATGACATATGATTTGTCTTGAGTCCATCATGTTATGAAAAGCAAAGCCATGAGGTGGATTCATTGCCCTGGATAGATAGAGTTGCTCTGAGCTACCAAACATTGGAGTGAGCAGGTCACACTTAAGAATTTGGGTTACTCTCTCTTCAGACATTATATGTCTGTAACTCAGAAAGATAACTACTCAGATAAGCAGAGGCAATCTCCAGACTTGTTAGGCATACTAATTATGAATTACTGATTTAAACCACTAAATTTTGGGTGTTTTGTTACACAGCAATAAATAATAGGAAAATAATGTTTGATACATTGCCTTGGAGTATGCTAGAGTGAGCTAAGAATAAACATAAAGTAGGGTAAATAATGTCTTAATTAAGCTTAGTTAAGCTTACTTTAGATTATTTTCATAAACTCTATGTGTAGATGAAGAAATCCATACTACAGTAGACATGACCTAAGTATGAATGTCAAGTACAAAGAGAAACACTTGAATTTAATCAAGGTGACATAGAAATAGAAATTAATCAAGAAAGTAGAAGATAATAGTGAATTATTTAGATTATTATTTTAATCTAAAGTCATGTTTCATTGTCTTTCTTTTTATGATTTTTCACTCTAACTGTATTCTGGAGTGCTCTAAGTCACCATGTTAATCATCATCCTTACCATCCTCATCAACCCGAAACATGCCCTTTTATTCAATCTAATCACAATTTCTCTCCATCAAAATAGTGCATGAACACCCCTACATTTTTCCTGTGGGCTACTGTATATAGTTTCTCATCTTTCTCAAATGATTGACATTAATTACAGATCATTACTCTTGGGAAGCTATGTGCTTTTCAACTGTCTGCTTTTGCTCTGAAGTTTCTCTTTATTCCTCCGCAAGTTGATGCTTATGATTTAAAATCTAGGAAATTGTATTAAATCTTGAAATAGCATCCAGCCTCTTCTTTGCAACATTCCCCCTCTAAAGTTCTTTTTAAAATATTCTCACTTTTTTCTTCTTTTAAGAAATGAGTCCTATATTTTGTTACCTACAATTATACTTGAAGATTTTATCAGAGATTAGAGAAACTGTTTAGAAGAGGAAATCAACTTTCCCTAGATTTTTTAAAAGCAACCTTGACTACCTGAAATTATTGTTGGTAGTAAGCAGGCAACTTTACAAAGATATGTCACACCTGCATTTTCACCCCATTCCTGAACTGTGAATCACAGTTGCAATTGCCCAGAAAAAAAGAGCATTTTACATCTTAATAACGGATGTGCTATGTTTTCTATTTTGCAGCCTGTCTAAGAGGAACTGCTTGTATTTTCTTAAGCCAATGGAAACTGAAAAAAAATGAGATGCACTGATTTTGCCAAAGGGGAAGGATGTGAAAATCTGAATAAATGATCCTTCTCTTGTTACTTCTTAGAAAAGTGATTTTCCTAACAAAATACAATAACATTTTTTAACAATAATTTACTTTGAATTATTTTTTTAAAATAAATTGAAAAATTGAATTGACTATAAATATGTTCCCTGTATCCTGTAGCAATACACAGAGGTAAATACTAATCAGGAAATTTTAACATAGCCATGCAAAGAGAATGTAGAAGAGTATTCTACTTCGACGGTATATTGAAGATATGACCCTACTTTTTCTATGGTCATGCAGCCTGCACACAATTCTCTAGTACATCTGTTCTATTAAGTAGTGTGGTCATGCACAAGAAAGAATAATATGTAAGGAAAGTAATTTGTCTTCTGAGGTAGTCTAGCCCATATAACTTATTCTTGCCTATTTTATAACATAGTATCCATGTATATTCAATAGTAATTTTTTTTAATAATTAAGGATTAAACAAGTCCAATTTTACATTCTCTTTTCTTTTACAAATGCTCTATGTAGTTGTCTGGGATTATGCAACATTGCTTCTTAAGACAAGAACCCCATACACCATTACTTTGTGATTTTAATACTATGTTCAATTCTCTAACCTGTAAAGACTCACACTCACAAATAGAAAGCAATTGATCCATATTACCTATGTTGTAATGAATCTAGATGTGCCTAACATTCCATTCTTTTCTGTGTTAGTAAACAAGTTTTTTTAAAAAAATTATTGAGCAAATAGATGTGCACACATGCACTGGTGACCTTCAATTTCAAAGTTAACATCAAACTGGCCAGTGTTTATTCTCTAAGACCAGGTTTTTCCAGTGTGTACACTAAGCTTCTATTTGAATGTAAACACTCCCTCACTGGTCTAGGACATTGGTGAAGTGGAGAATCTCAAACTCTGGCAGTTGAATGCAAGCCCCAATAACTACCTGCAGTTATTTTCTGTCCATTAATTCAGACATGGAGCAGGGATGACTGTGGATGTCATTGCGAATCACTAATGTATTTTCTTCTTGCTACTTAACATGGCTTCACCATTACGTACTGCAAAACAGCTTCCTGAAGATTCTGCTTGTCTCTTTTCTTTTTTTTTTTTTCTTTTTCTTTTTTGAGAGGTTTTTGTTATAGGGCATGTGCACTTGCCAGACAGACTGAGACAGAGAGACAGAAAGCAAGAAATCACCCCCCCTAGGGGGGATGGCCATGCTGCCATCCCTTCTTCTCCTTAAGCCTCTCGCAATCTTTGGCACACATGCACATGTGCTGGGCATGAGTTTTAAGCCACCGGGTCCAGGACACGAACCATGGTCGACTACCTGGGAGTCCAGTGACATAGCCATTACACTAACTGCTAGTCTCTCTCTTTCCATTCTTCATCAGAGATTATCTCTACAATGTTCTAGAAAACAGTTTATTTTTTGACAAAATTACTTCATGTCATGACTTTTTATTGGTGACCACTCTTGTTGAAGTGCCAAACTCAGAAGTAAATCTCCAGACATTCTGGAAAGCAAAGCATGAAGGTATTAAAGCCTAATAATCACCTGTTTAGCATGGTCCGGAAGAGCTTGATTATTGTATGCAGTTGGATGTCACATTTCACCTAATAGTCTGTCTCATATTTTTATATTGTCAATAAACCATGACGGATATTATTCCACTATTTTGTAGCAGCACAGAACCTCAGCCCACAGTGTCCAAGAACGTGCATAGGTCACACAAATGCAGTGAAGTTTCAGACTTATTTAAGACCATGTCTAATTTGGTGTTAAGTTGGAAGGGGCTAAGAAAACAACAAAAGATGGGATGAGTTTGATCTTTTTGAGAGAAAGTAGTCAGACAATTTTTTAAGGTTGCTGATTTTTATAGGGTAAATGAGAATGTCATTTGGCTTTTGTTTTTATATTATCTAGAACAGTTCTATCCAGTAAAAAACACTAGAATTGATGTATGTATTAGGTTGTCAGAAAAGTAATGGCATGTCTTTTCTATGCAAAAATGTATCATGATTTTCTGAAAAGCCAATTATTTAAAATTTTCTAGGATCATGTTAAAGTAAAAAGAACAGAAAAATTTATTTAGTAAAATATTTTACATAAAATATTGGATTGTCAGAGTCGATGCATTTTTGCATAGAAAAGCAGAAAAATACATCATGACTTTTCCAGGCAGCCTAATAGTATTTACAATGTGATTTAGGTAAACATTAGAAATATTTTACATTTTTCTGCTATAAATGAATTTATTCTGTTTTTACACTTATATTATACCTAAATTTAAATTAGACACATTTCATATACTCAGTATTCACATGCACATATTAAATTAGACAGTGCATTTCTAGCCATCAAAAGTAATGTCTTTAAATTGGATAACAGTAAAAAGAGGTGCTAAAATATTAGCACTTTCTCTAGATATTAACAGTATTTCTTACTTTTATTATGAAAAATTTCTGAACAGCTCTATAATGGACTCAATAATATAATGGATTTGTTTGTTGATTGTTTGACTTTCAAGTTTTCAAACTATGGTGAAATTTCACCTCATTTAATACTTCATTTATATCTCTACTCAATCCTACCTTCGTTTTTTATTATAAATCCCTAATATTATGGCAATTTATTCACTAATAGTTAAATATTAATCTGAAAAAGGTAAATTAAAAAAATTTATCCAGTGTCATCAATATATCTAAACATATGTGTAGATATCCTGATATTCAGTCAGTGTTCATGTTTCCAGTAATTTCTTTCCACATATGTATTAAATAAATGTCTTTGTTTGTTTTATTCTCATTTTAGAAAAATAAAGTTTTTATTAAGGTTTATTTTCCTTTTATTTTTTGAAAGAGATGACTTTATAGCACATAAAGCTTCTGTTGTTTTTTTATTAGAAAATACATACTTTCCAGCATGAAATTATGTCTGAGTGTCACCATTTTTTTCTTTTGGATGTTAGATGTATTGGCGATTAATGTATAATTCCGTTGTTTTATTGAATGCAAAAATATAATATTTTAGTCATTCATTTTTCATGTATTATCTGGAGAATTTCTATACAATGAAATTTGCCATCATTTCCTGCTTGATTGCTCATCAGTACAATTCCTAAAGAAAAGATGCAACAAAGCCAGCTTATTTTTTTGAATGCATAAAGTTTAAAAATAGTTTTTACTTATGTTATAGAAACAAATTCTTCTGAAAAATATAATGAATTTATAAGTGTGTGTATATATATATTTGTGTGTATATATATATACATATGCATGTATATATATACACATATTTGATTGATTTCTTTTCTTTTTTTTTATTGTTATCCCAGGTTTATTGAAAATAGTACGCCATAGCAGGAAGTTCCAAACGGCTCCACGGGGGTTTTGAAATTCATTCCAACTGTAGGCTGCGTGACCTGCAGGTTGGACAGGCTGCCAACGTCCAAAAGCTTCAGCCTTTCCTTAGTGTCAGGAGCCATTTCAATGATTTCTTGATCCAGGGCTGAGACCTCAGGAACATAATCATCTCTCCTTTCTCGCTCCTCTTCCTGCAGCTTGATGGAGATGCCTCTCACTGGGCATCTCTGAATGTGCTTCATGAGATGCATGACATGGCTTGCTATCTTGTTGTGGAGCTTCTTGCTGGGAATGATGGCGACCGCCTTGCATAGTCGCTTGTTCGTGTGGAAGTCGTTGCCCAGATGCGTGTAATACTTCTTGACGATGACCCGACCTGCCTTCTTCACGGTTTTGGTGTGTACGCAGCCCATGTCGGTAGGTCCTTGGGGAAAGAAGAGGATTTATTTTTATGATACTAATCATGCATTATGTTTGTTTGGTGGGAGCTTTTAATAGGTCTCTGTGTCCTTATGAAAAGATCCTACCAATTTTTCAGAGTTTCCTTGTTATCCAATATATTAGTATATTCACACTTAAATTGTATACTGACTTTCAGTTTTTGTTATTGTTTTAAAGAATTACTTATTTAATTTTATTTCTTATTATTAATTTTCAATTTGATCAGAAAAAGAAAGGGAATATGATAAAGCAAGTTCCCAGGTCGGGACTCAAACTGCAGTCAGCTATGTAGGAGTCCAGCACCTTCACTACCATGCCACCTACCTTTCCAATAGCTCAACTAAGACATTTCTCCTTTATACTCAAGCACTAAGTAGAACTGTTATTGATAGGGATAACCTATTGTTTCTGAGTCTTTATAGAAACAAAAATGTTAAAAATTTGTTGTTCTTTCTATTGGTTAATTTCATTTATTTATTTTATTTACTTTAATTAACTTATTTTTTCCTCATGGGACGTGTGTGCTCACTGGAGAGAGACACAGAGAGAGAAGTGAGAAACCACCCGTCCATGTGGGTGGCCACACTGCAATCCTTTCTCCTTCTCTACTGATCTCCTGGGATTTGTCACTTGCACGCACACATAGTTGTGATTTTTCAAATCTCTGGGTCCCGTATTTAAACTGTGGTTTGCCACCTGCTGGCCCCTATTTGCTAGTGTGTAAAGTACAAAATGAGTTCATAATACTTCCCAGTTACTTACTTATTTACTTTAAAAACTTTTTCAGAGAGAGATTTTTGCTGTAGGGAGTGGGCACTCACTTGCCACAGAGACAGAGTGAAACAGAGAAAAAGAACCTGTGAAATACTGTCCAAGGGAATGGCCATGCCTCAGTCCTTTCTCCTCCATTCTCCTCAGGATCTTGGGCACTCATGCAAATGCACCCAGAGGAGAATTTAAAGTGCCATGTCCTGAAACTGCAGTCGACTATGTGGGAGTCCAATGACGTAACAGTTATGCCATCTACTTGTCCCAATACTTCCCATTTAAATTTCAGGTTTCAGGATTTTCATTTTACCTATTTTATCTTATATTTGGAACTCCCATGTCTATCTAAGAAGCTCAATTCTCTAGGACATAGAGAATGAAAGAATTCAAATGCATGTACTCAGGTGTATGCCTTTCAACACATACAAATCTCTCAGAGTAAAAATACAAATAATACCACAAGCAAGATGTTGTTAAAAAAATACTTTTCATTACCTATTTTCTCCTGCTATATAAATTTCTAATTAGCCTAGTATGTTTTAAAGTAATTTGTCATAATTCCATCTAAAGTGGGTAAAACCATCTGTGTATATATTTATATATATTCATTATTTATTTTTGATTATATTATGGGGAGATTTTAGTTTAATTTTGACAAATAATTAAATGCCAAATTTGCAAATTTATAAAGTAAAACATAAAAAAAACAAGGACCATCTAAAGACACCTAGTTTTGGGCCAGTCTGGTGGCATGGCAGTTAAGGTGGCCACATCCCACTTGGCCAAGAACACGGTTGGAGTCCCGGACCTGGCGACTTGGCAGATATGTCAGGCAGGTGTATTTGTGTGCCCAAAATCCCTAGAAGAAAATAGAGTAGAAGTGATTACAGTTTGACCATCCCTTCTGTGTGGTGATTTCTCATTTTTCCTCTCTGGTGAGCATACAAACCCATGTAGAAAAAAACTATTGTGAAAATCTGCAAGACATCAGGGTAAGCTATACTTCTTAAATAAGACCCCCAAAGCACAGGCAATAATCCAAAAAATAGACAAGTGGGATTATGTCAGATTAAGAAGTTTCTGCACAGCCAAGGACACCAAAATTAATGTGAATTGACAACCCTTCGAATGGGAGAATAGTTTTGTAAACTATGATTCAAATAAGCAACTGATAGATAACCAGAATACACAGGGAAGTCAAGGGGCTTACCTGAAAGAAAAAAAAAAAAAAAAAAAAAAAAAAAAAAAAAAAAGACCAATCTAATTAAAAGATGGGAAAATGAACTGAACAAACAACTCTCTAAAGAAGATATATGAGCAGCCAAAAGCATATGAAAAAATTGTCAACGCCCCTCATCATAAGGGTGATGCGGATCAAAACCACAATGAGACACCACTTAATCTCAATCAGAATGACTAAGATTTTTAAAAAAGTGACTAAGTGCTGGTGGGGATGTGGTGAAAGGAGAACTCTCCTACACTGCTGATGGGAATGTAAATTAGCCCAGCCACTCCAGAGGACAATATGGAGATTCCTCAAAGACCTTCAAATCTAACTACCTTATGATCCAGCAATCCCACTCCTAGTATCCACCCAAAAGACAGGAGAATGCTCAGTTGCAAAAGTGCTTACACATCTATGTTTATTGCAGCATTATTCACAATTGCTAAGACATGGGACCAATCCAAATGTCCATGAGCAAAAGAATCGAGTGAAAAAATGTTGCACATAGAGTATATAGTGTTCCATATACTCCATGGACCACTACTCAGCCATAAAAGAACAAGACCCTCGCCTTTAACAGAAAGTGGACAAACAAGAAAATTCTCTGCTGATTGAAGAAGGCCAGACTATGAAACAGAGATATTGTATGTCTCCACTTAATATACACTGACTGTCTGCACTCTATGGCAAAAACTGAAAGATTAGAGGATATAGAAACATGGAAAATGGTAATGGAAACTGGATACAGTGTGAGAAGAGAGTGGGAGTAGGAGGAGAGTGAGAGGAAATACATTAAGGAGTAAATAGAGAGGCAGGACATTTGTGGGACAGAGATTATTGTCTGTTGATAACATCTATATTATCCTTGACTGGACTGGTGTGAGGTGTATTCACGTTGTGAAAATTAACATTAGAGACTAAGTGGTATATTGCATGTATAAAAGAAATTAAAATAAAGTATATTTTAAAAATAAAAAAATGAAGAAGCATAGGTGGGTTTTTTTTTGTATCAAAGTTTCCTCTGTAATTTTTCTATTATAGGCAGCATTTTCTTTTAATTTACTTGTCTCATTTTTCATATTTTGTTTATTATAAGCAGATATATTATATTCTCCATCTTTCTTAAATAAACTATACTATACTGTTCATGATTTTATAATATTATATATATATATATATGAAAAGTGAAGATCATTATAAAATTCCAAGCATTTTAACATATAATTTGATTCTTTTTTTTTTTTAATAGAACAGAAGAGTAGGAAACTCTCTTTCATATTTTAATGTGCATATGTAGTCTTAAGAACTTCATATATTCCCAAAAAGAATGCTTGATTTGTTATGAGAAGAAGTCTTCATAATCTTTTGTAAGTTTTATGTTTTGGGGAACATATCTTCAAACCTAGTGTTAACTGTTAGATTGGTTATGCAAGCAAGGGAGGGAGATATATATAAGTTTGTTAGAGCTGGTTGTAACTTAGAGCTGGAAAAAATAAACAGTAGGTGTACTACATCTTGGATATAGTTTCTAAAAAGCTATGCATTTCCCCTGGATTTGAGGATATATTTTTTCTAGTAAGCAGCAAAATTCACTCAGCTAGATATATCCATATTCTGTAAGGATCTTATATTGAATTAAACTTTATATTTTAAAATGGTATAAATTAATATGTATCATTTAATGGATGATAAATTCAACTGAGGACATTTTGCTTTAAGTAATGTAAACCAATTCAGAATATCATTAAATATGATTTTTATTTGCTTCAGTTATGACTAATTTCCAAAAAACTGGTTTTAAATCTTTTTCATTTGTCTTTGTTCCTAAATTTCTAAAAGAGAAATGATGTTGATGTCAAAGGTAGTGTGTGATTAGCTCCAATCAGAGAAATTTGTCAGGTGTATATACTTGCCCTTGCCAATGAGAGTTATGTTCCTTAAATGCCTAGAAACAAACTTAGAATGAATCATAATTATTACATAGCCTTGAGTAAACAAGTGAATTTTTAGTGTTTTTTTTTGTGCTTTTTTTCATCATTATGAAATGGTCAAAAGTAGATTTATTTTTTCCATATACACAATATATAGTTAAAAATCAAACAAAAAATGTGTACTATAAAGATGTACAGTGATTTATTTTTTGAGAGATTATTGCTATGGGGCTCATGCACTCACAAGAGAGACAGAGAAAGGAGAGATAGAAAGCAAGAACTCCCCCCCAGGCATGATGGCCATGCTGCAATCCCTTCTCCATTCCTGTCTTGGGATTTTGGTCATACATCCACATGCTCCCAGCATGAGTTTTTGGTTGTTGTTGTTTTTGTTTGTTTGTTTGTTTGTTTTTTAAAGGATTAATAGTGGTTATTTAATAAGCCCTCAGGACTAATAATACAATAGAAAACTCACTGTTCTCTCCCATTACAATTAAATTTAGCAATGGGTAGCACTGTTTATCTTCCAAATTAATGAAATACAGCAGAATGCTATGCATCAGAAATTTTAAGCAATTAAATCAGAAAATCTGTGAAGAAAAACGGCAAATAATAATAATAAGGATGATGCCTTTTTCACAAACTGGCCTAGTCTAGCAAGATTTTTTTTTTTCCTCTTTCTGTTAATGTGGTACTTTTAAGCCGCCGGATCTGGCACTGTGTGGGAGTCCAGTGATGTAACCACTATGCCATCTGCTGGTCCCAATGTATAGTGATTAAGTGTAAATTTTTAACAACAGAAAAAAAAATAAATACTATGACAATTAGACATCATATTTTTAATGTAAACACCTAGGTAATAAATTCTCAACCTGATATTTAGTTATTTCATACTTTGGTACTCACAAAAGGACTAATTCGTTAAAAATGAAGAAAATGTGGTATATATGTGTAATCAAGAACATGTAAGCAAAGGTCACTAAAATGTGAGAGAGCCAATGTTCTGGAAGGAAGTTAGAAGGTATAAGAAATGCCGCTTTTTGAAAAT